ATATGTGGAAGCTCTCAGACCTGAAAGAAATGCTTCAAAGACATTCAAGATCTGTGATTATATAAATGTGACTGAAATGTCCAACAGCTCAGAGCAGGGTTTTACCAGTACCCACAGTTACTGTCATGTCTGAAGTAGGCATATTGAGATAATGTGCTGTTATGTCTTTGTGAGTGAGTACTCATGCCCATCTCTAATACAGGCGCCATATACAAGAGGTGGGAGCACTGGCACTTAACAATTACAATGCAATCTATTAAAACACCCCCACAGATTTCAGCCTGCAGTTAACAATGAGTTACACAGGGCTCAACACTAATTTTTTAAAGTGGTCACCAAGCCGGCGCCAGGCATCAGCTTTTGACTGCTGATCTTTGGATACCTTATATTTTAACTGATTAAGATGTAAATCAGTTTACTAATAAAAACGTGACATAAAAGAATGTTGAAAAGGTTTATTACAGTAACTGAACAAAAAGCCTGTGTAGTTTTTTTTTTTTTTTTTTTTTCTTTTTTTTATCTGATGCTTTACAAAATTGAATCTTAACTGTTATCAGTTAGCATACCCACCCTCAATTTCTGGTACACAAAATCCTGGTAGGTGGCATTAATCTTACAAATGGCGGTGTTCTTCAGCCGATCAATGGGTGCGCCAGCTCTTGCAGCTTTCACATGTTGTTAAACTGCACACTCGTGTTGCTTAGAGCTCCAGTGCTTGTCTAGCCCTGTGGTTCTATAGGATGCACTACCTTGTACTAGTGAAAATGTTGTGTGTTGTACATACTTAACATTATAATTTTGCATCCAACTCAAAGATACTGGGATACTTTGGAAATTTACTTTTTTGTTTAGGTTAACGTGGTTCTATGTCAGTGGAATCAATCTGCATGTTTGTTTGGGATGCTGATGGGTTAGTCAAAGTTTTCAGCCACAGTCATTCTGTTAATTTGATTTTCCATTAGCACTAAAATAGATGCCTGCGTGCCTGCATATTAACACACTAACGCATGTGCAGAATTGTCTGGTTCCAGGTTTTGACAGTAACCCCACTATTTAAACATCACTAGGACAGCAAATATTAAAAATGTATTCATTTTCAGTGCCATTTTGCTGTTCCTATTTTTTATATGTCAAAACGTAGTTGCCACTGATGGCAACAAAAGGCCAAGAATTGGCTGTCAATTCTAGCAGCCCTTACTGTTGAGCTGTGTTAAATCAGCACCTCTCGGACAGACTCAGCTAAAAATTTTATATTTTGATGGTCCATCTGTGAGCACAACACATATTGGAATGCTGTGGTACCTGCGGTCTCTCCGTCTGAACCCGCCTCATACATCCAGAGCCGTAGATGACCGTGTTCTCAGGTATGACCTCACAGGTGTTGACCTGACAGAAGGCTCCAATGATACAGCCGCTGGTGAGGATCACATTCCTACCAACATCAGCTAGAACAACAGAACAGAGGATATTTGATACGGTGAGTGACACTTTTTATCGAAACGTTCCATCCTACTCTGCAGATGTGGGTTGCTCACACATGAACACACACAAAAAGCCAAACAAACCTTTGGATTCAATCACATTGTTGTCCCCAATTTTCAAAGCTTGTGATACTGTTGGTCCTCAGCTAAGGCAAAATGAACTTTTGATAGTTATGAGTCACAGTATGGTTACAGTATGAAATCATTTGACTTATGGAACAAGACTGGTCAGACAAAAGGATACCACAACCAACTTCAAATACATTGTTCATGCCAATAGTCATTGTCTTTGGCTCCACCTCAGACTCTGGGGTGATGTTTTCGGGGTACCTGCAGAGTAGAAGAAACAAACTTGTTATTTTTACAATACAGGCTGATTTCAAAACAGAGGTGGCCCATATGCAAAGATAACCCATCTTGTATGTGTATCACACGTTATACACTGAGATACACGGAATCTTGAATTAACGTTACCCATTAATGATCAGAGCTTGCTCCTCGATCAAATTGCCTTCTCCAATCACTATGGGTCCTGCCTCTGCGATGATACGAGCTTTTGGGTGGACTACCGTCCTGGGGCCTGAGGAAACACAGAATTGAAAAAGTTAATTTAAACCTGCTGAATTAGTTGAGAGATTAATCCGATTTAAGTGTAAGAAATACAAGTTTTATCAAGTCATCAGTGACTATTTGGAAGTGACCCAAAGCGAAACGTCTTACCTATGGTGACATCTCCTCTAATCTCACTTTCAACACAAACTACAGCTCCAGCGGCTATTTTGACACTGCAGGGGGAAAAAGAAAACATTGATTGAGAACATGAGAGGAAAAATACTTATTATGTTAGCTAACGTCATGTAGCTAACTAGCCATTTCTTTAGCCGTATAAACTAGCTACATGGCTGCTTCATTATGGCTATTAAGTACTTATTTTTGTTTGCTGTTAACTTTTAGCTATGCGAGCAAACGTCAATAACGGGTTAACATTAATATTACCTTTTTTGAGCATTTTGTTTATCCGCCATTGTGAAAGATGAAGTCCGATGGGAGGCGCCGTTGATTCACTCGATAATCGATTTGGAGTCCTTGCTGTCACAGCGTGTGCGCATGCGTCGGTGGACATTTTTTTTAAAGAGATGGCAATATAAAAAGATGACTGATGACTAACATGAGGATTATCTGATTAAAGACGGAAATTGGGAAGAGTTCAGCTCATTTGAGAAACGACTCTAGTCTGTACAAAATATCAGGGAGAAACGCTTGTGAACACAGATGCGAGTTAGTTAATTTATGGGTTGAAATAATATACGTTGCCATAGCAACAGACAATGTAGCTCCCTTCACGACCTCAGTACTCTATGTATATTAGAGGTTCAGTCATATTAAAGCTTGTATCCAACAGTGGGGTGTATCTTTCGTGGTCCACATATGAGTTTTATCTGTATGAAAACTATAAGGTGTTTCTCCTGGGTATATAATTGTTTAAATAAATTAACTTACGTGTAAATCCAACATATTCACTGCTGCGTTTGAACGCGTGAGAGGAAGATAATTGGCCGCGCAGTCTGTGGAAATATTGGATTTTAACGTTGGTTTTGGCCTGACCAGCTGTTTTATCTTACCGGACAGACAGCAGACATCTCTTGGATTACATTCATGTATTCAAAGGTAAGATATACACCTGGCTAAAGGCAAAAGTTGGCGTTTTGATTTTCCTCCCAAGGTTGGCGAAAGAAACGTTATGTGACCCGAGCGCGGAGTATGCCTATTGTGCGCTGTGCTGGGGTCATGACTCGTGACTGGGGTCAAATTTCGTGTGTAGTCAGTGTTCGTCAAATAAACTGGCAATTTGCGCAAATACAATACATGCACACGGACGAGGACACAGTTACTGGTCAGTCTTTTATGGTAGCAGTACAGGGATGTGGGGTTGAGCCATAGGTAGTGACCGTTTGAGGGCGACAAGACAAACAGGTAACCTAGGCGTCGATAATGTACTTTGGCCCTCGTCGCTCCCACTACAATGTCAAAACAAGGAAGGGTCGGAAGTGGTTTGTGCTGCTGCTATGGCAAAAAGGAAACTAAAAAAGTCCAAAGAAACATCTTCAGTCGTAGGGGGGAAGCGGACAAACACAAAAGAAATGACACAACCAGAGAAAAATATGTTTCCCCTTGCTGCTCTTGCTTTATTTGTAGCCGTTTGCGTGGTGCCGCTGACAGCCGAAATATCTACCTGTGAGTATCCAGGACTGTTGACATGAGAAAGAGCAGGATGGTGTTTCGTAGCTAGCTAGTTAGCTATAGCTAAAATCAAGTGTCCAGCACAATTGTACATTTATTTCACTCCTTTACGTGTTAAAATTGCCTTGCAGCAGTGTCGGTGGCTTTCATCAGAGATTCACCATGTTAGATAATGTTTAGTATTCGACTATTAAGTTATAAAATTGTAAGCTCGCGACTAACGCGAAACAAAACACCACCAGGTCAAAGATACAGTTGACAGTCCAAGCACGAGCTCCAGTCGTTTAAAATTCCCTCCTGGGGGTAGTTTACGGATTAATACGGCATGTGACCACAGAGCTCTGCAGCCATAACTTCAGCCCTCTCACATGCTTTCCTCCTCCAGACAGCAGTGTTAGCTGCCTGGCTGTAGCTTACAGTTAAACAGGGCGGTTATTTTACCTCTGGTTTTCCACCTAAGCTACCATTCGGCTATAACGATAGCAGTGAACGACTGGTTTGAGGTAAGTTGTAGTACAGGACACCGCCTGCTCAGCTGTAGCATCTACGAAGACATATAAAAGCTTCACTGTACGATTTCTCTGACTTGTACAATATGTCGGTCAACATGGAGTCAGGACAGCTGGGATTATTTTACGCATATATCTCTAGTTCTAAACAGTGCAGTGGGTTTCTGATTATATCACTAATCTGCACAATGTGTACTGCTGTTTCTGACTCCAGCTGGCCACCCTCATCGAAGACGCATAGTCCTGAAGATGGATGAGGCAAGTCTGACAGTCAGCAATGAGCTGGACACTGAGGTGGTGGTGTACTGGGTGTCACAGCGGTGCTATCAGGTAGGCTTAAACACACACCAGGTATTCTCCTCCTGTTTATTCTGTGACTTGTTTGAAATGAAGATGATGATGAAGTCTGATCTGGACCCTTGTTCCCTTGTATGCTAGTGTTTGTACCAGCAGCTAGGGGTGGTATCCGCAGGATCCAGTCCTGGCCATCCCAGTTCGGCAGACTTTGTTGTGAGCACACAGCATGAAATTACATTACAGCTCAACAACACTAGAAGCCAGGAGCTCTGCAAGTAAGTTGAATGATACAGACATGTTTTACAAATGCCTGAACTAGAAATATATATATAAAAAAAACCTTGTGCTGTATAAATGTTTGGGAAGTCTCATTCTATCAACCAATGCAAAATGGTCTCTTACAGCTTTAATAGACTGATGCAGATATGTTTTACAAATACATTTCTTAGTTTAATATGTACCTAAACAAACATTTTTTGTTGGATTGAAAATCTAATAGGATTTAGAGATATGTTCCTACACTGCAGTATGCTGTCATGGACATGATAAGAACATTTGAGAGTCTTCACAGATCCTTTACAGCTCCACTTCAAAGTTTAGATGTTGCGGCACATCTTAAAAATAGTACTCATTGCCTAACCATCCAGCATTTAAGGAAAATGTATTTTTTTTTATAAAATGACATGACATGTTAGTAGACATAATTTGACATACAGTAGAATTTCTTGCACATTTTATCAAGGTGAGTGTGGCATGTCAACAACTATCTTGTTGAATGACAATTTGCACATTAAAACAAAAGGTCCATGTTATTACTATGGGCATATGTACATACATCAATCAGTCTTGATGGTGTCCTGCCTGGTTTAGCGTATACCTTTGACTTTCAGTGTTCCATTCCACTTTGGGGAACATGGGAACTACTCTCTGTGGGTGAAAAATCTGAACAACTCCTCCACGGTCAACTGCTCCATAGTGACTGATGAGAAGCCTGTCAACAGCTACATACGTGAGTGTCAAGTGTTTTCTGTCCTACAAAGGCTAATTGCAGAAACTATGCCAACACTGAAACTGAGAAAAATGGCTTCAAAGTTTTTTTTGACTGCCCAGCCAAATGTGTTATAGGTAGCAAAGTGGTAAAGCACAAATTACATCGGTTTTCATAAAGTAATTTTTATGCCTGTGACCTCAATAATGCATGTATTACCCTAAACAGCTACATAGGTAAGTCAAAGGCAAAGTGTTGAAAGGGGCCAGTTGAGGTGGTTCAGGCATCTCCTGAGCACCTCCTGTTAGAGGTGTTCCTGGCACGTCCAACTGGTGGGAGGCCCCAGGGCAGACCCAGAACACGCTAGAGGGATTATATATCTCGTCTGGCCTGGGAACGCCTCTGGGTCCCCCAGGAGGAGCTGGAAAGTGTTGCTCTGGAGTACTTAGCTCAGCCTGCTGCCTCTTTGACCTGGCCTCGGATAAGTGGTTGAAAATAGATGGATGTAAAGGCAAAGTGCAGCAACTACAATTTTAGTGTCTTATCTTTTTCAGGAACAGAAAAACTGTTTTTATTTCTTACTTCATTCAATTTATATTTGATTCATTTATAGATGTCTGTTTTAAAAGTGGCAACAGAGAAACATTTAAGCAACCGTCAAGTATTATTTTGTTGTAATATATTCATTTTATCAGGTTTGACCTAAATTAGGATGACTTGACATCATCATTGTATTTATCAGTGATTTTGCTATGGTCGTTGTCTCGAATCTCGATATCAGTTATTTTGTCATTGTCATCACCCTTATTCTCATGTTCACCATGTAATACGCTTACTGCAGTTTTCCTTCATCCAATAAAATCCCAAGTAAGAGCACATTAACTACTTTTAATGCGGTTTGCCTTGGGTTTTTGGTTGGATTTTGTTGTTGCTGCAATTTTACACCCTTTTTTCTCGAGAACAGAACGAGATTGAACCAGAAAATGTTGTCACAAGATACAACAGATATCCAAAAGTTTAATTTGAGCCATAATTCAATTTTGACCAAAACTGTAGTTCTGTGGTCAGCCTTTGTAGGGCAGTTTTGATGCTTTATTCATCCCTTCTATGCTGCACAAATAACATGCGACATTTAAATAATGTTCTGCTTTTTCTCCACATAGCAATCCTAGTAGCTTTTCTCATCTTTGCTGGACTGGCATTGGCATCTGCCATTGGAACAAAATTATTAGGGTAAAGCCATTTTGTTTTTTATTCATTCAGTTAATTCCTAAGTAGAGCTGTTATGAGTTTCATACTGTTTAAGAAATCAGCATTGTCATTTGTATGTATGCAAACAAAATTGAATCTACATATGATGTATGAAATTATGATTTCATCAATTTCTTGATATATTTGTCACAGTGCTGTGGCATGAACATCTCTTGCTAAGATTACTGCCAAGTACAGAGAGCTCCTGCTGCTGTATTCCTCTGTCTCAACTGTGAGCTGTGAGTTTGTGTGTATTACAGAATTACTCCTAAACTGGCTGATTGCTTCTTATCCAGGCTCGACCTAGTGAAGGGTATCCTCTTCCGAATTAGCGGCACCATGGAGACAGAGAGGCTCATCAACTCTGTGAGTGTTTGTTTAGAGGATATTCTGCCAAACCCTGTAAGACTGTAAAATCTTTTTAGTTGAGATGGTACTGGAACTAAAATTAGTAACCAAATATCTTTATTTATTAGAGTTTGTATTTTAATTTTGCATTAAAACGCTCTTCAAATTTGTTATGAAAAATTTAACAAAAATATAATGTTTTTTAATCATTAGAAATCTCACCTATAATTATTATGTTAGATGCATCACGCAGCTTTCAGGGACTGTTAAAGGGACAGTTCACCCAAAAAGCAAAAACATATATTTTTCCTCTCAGGAACTGGGCTCCCCTGGCAGGACAGTGTCACTAGTTGCTGACAACATCCTCCCTCCACCACCCAGCCCCAGCAAGAGGCTGCGCTCCCTGGACACATTTAGAGGGTAGGCCCCTACCTCATCTCACCCCTCACCTACATAGCTCAGCTTCCTCAAACAAAGATATGAACTGAATTACCACTTGGCCTGATCTGGCCTCATACAGAATCATGTGGTTCTTACTGTAGCGGGCAGCCGTCACTGGGATTGTGACTCATTAATTAGGACCCTACTGATAATATTAACGTGGATCCGGTGCCTTGAAGTTTCAGTGTTTGTTTCAAGGGAGTTTTCTTCCCTGAAGTGACCCATTTAGCTGTTCTAACTTTGATGCATCATCTGAAACAAATATATCTAACTTTGCTTGCCTGTTTGGTCTGATCTCAGTGCAATTCCTCTTTTATTTCCTGTCAGTATCTCCTTAGTCATTATGGTGTTTGTGAACTACGGAGGTGGACGATACTGGTTCTTTAGACATGAAAGCTGGAATGGTGAGTCTCACCTGCTTCTCCACAGATCTTTGCCTCCAGCCTTGGTATTGTTGTTGATTTTGAAGCCTGTCTTTTCCGTTTTGTCTCCTTATAGGCCTCACTGTCGCAGATCTAGTCTTCCCTTGGTAAACTCACTTTGAATTTAAACCTTATGTCATTTTCACTTTACTCCTCTGTGTGTCTCATTTTTTCACACTTGGTGTTTCCCTCCTTCAACAGGTTTGTCTTTATAATGGGGACGTCCATCGCGCTGTCAATCAACGCCCTGCTCCGTGCGGGCTCCACACGCCGCTCACTGCTATGGAAGGTCGTGTGGAGGAGCCTGCAGCTCTTCCTCATTGGCCTCTTTATCATCAACCCAAACTACTGCCAAGGAACATGTGAGTATAAACAGCGCACTTCTTTGATGTTGACTGTGACATCGCAAACCATTTAGATTATTAATATACCCTCTTCTTTGATACTGTTCCAAACTGTTGACTTATTTCTTCCTTTCTTTGTTTGCTTGTGTGTTTCCGCCTGCATGTGCGCTCGCTCTAAATCCTCATCTACTTCACAGTGTCTTTTGACAACCTGCGGATCCCTGGTGTGTTGCAGCGCCTGGCCTGGACATACTTAACTGTAGCCTGCCTGGATCTGTTGGTGGCGAGAGGTCATCTTGACATCCTTCCAACGGTCAGCCGACAGCTCCTCTCTACTCTTGACTTTCTATTTTGTGTTCAACTGGTGCAAAGATGACCTAAAATAAAACTGCCATGTTTGCTGTTTACGTATCTATTGACATATGTCAAAATTCTGATGTTCCAGATAGTAAATTTATTTTGGAGGCAAACAAAAGGTTTGATTGAAGAGTGTCTCTGTTCTCCAGGATGCTTGGTGGTCCCCTGCCCTTGACATCTTGCTGTACTGGCCAGCCTGGCTGTGTGTGCTTCTCTTAGAAGTCGTCTGGCTATGCCTCACTTTCCTACTTCCTGTTCCAGGTTGCCCAAGGTGAGTAAATCGGGGCATGTTTGTGCGTTGTTTACCATCAATGTAAAAGGAGAAATGCTCAGCAAGCAACAGGGTTTTGTCCACTTCTGAAAAATATCTATGTCTTTGATCCTTTGTATTAAGTGTTTGTGTAAAAAGCAGTGACGGTTCAGTCTGATTATCAGGCGATGCTTGTAGTGTCTACACATTTTTGAGTCAGACCCAGATTCAGGTGCAGTTTTATCAATTTATTTATTTATTGAAATACATTCAAAGAATTGCACAGCCAATTACACAGACAACAATGTGTCATAAAGAAATACTTAAAGGGACAGTTCACCCCAAAATACATATTGTTTTCTCTTACCTGTAGTGCTATTTATCAGTCTCCATTGTTTTGGTGTGAGTTGCCAAGTGTTGGAGATATTAGCCATAGGAATGTCTGCCTTTAAATAACTCAACAGCAATGTCTCTTTCCATAAATCATGACCCGGTTACTCAAGATAATCCCCAGACCATGTTGTGAACAGTTTCATGTAGGAACTATTTTCTTTCAACCGTACTACACCCGCCAACCGTATCCCCACTCGGAGGGAAGCATAGCTGTAACGGTAGCTAGCTCAGTGGTGCTAGGTGGGCTAAGCAGTAGATGCACGCTTCCTTCTGCACTGTGATACAGTTGGCTCGCACAGTTTGGTTGGAAGAAAATAGTTCCTCCATGAAACTGCTCACAACAAGGTCTGTGGATTATCTTGTGTAACCAGGTCATGATTTCTGGAAAGAGACATTGCTGTTGAGTTTTTCAAAAGCATTTTTTGCACTTTGAGCACCACAAGCCGAGCTCCATCTAGTTCCATTATATTGAAGAGAAGGCAGACATCTGCATGGGCGATATCTCCAAGACTCGGCAGCTCACACCAAAACAGTCTGGACTGATAAACAACACTACAGATAAGAGGCAAAATATGTATTTTTGATTTTGGGGTGAACGGTCCCTTTAAAATTTCATCCTTGCTTTGGTGTTTATTTTTAAACCTTAACCTTGCTCTCAATACCCTTTATCCTACATTGATAATGCTGACTCTTCTGAACAGAGGCTACCTGGGTCCAGGTGGGATCGGGGACATGGGCCTGTATGCTAACTGCACCGGTGGCGCGGCTGGTTACATTGACCGATGGCTGCTTGGAGAGAGCCACATCTACCAGAATCCCTCTTCACGGGTTAGCGATCAGCAAAACAACCCAAACATACCAACAGAAGTCACGTTTAGTCTTTTTATAACTTGGGATGTTGAGCTTGAGCTTACATATCAGGTTTCTCTCTGAAAGGCCCATACACTGACCCCCAACCATGCTAATGCTACAGGTGATGCAAGGATAAACTTATTTGCAACTTTCCTCTTCTGTTTCCATTTTAATGAAGATGATTTATGCAACTCGTATGCCATACGATCCAGAAGGTGTTCTTGGCAGCATTAATTCTATCCTCATGGCTTTTCTTGGATTACAGGTTGGTAATGTGTATTTCTCTGGTTCTCTCTCACTCTTTGCTTCTTGCTTTTACTCATATTTCTGATGTCAAATTGATAATAACATAGCTAACTAGAACAAACAAACAAAATCAAATTTGAATTTATTGATTGCACTTTTAATTATCCTCAGGCAGGAAAAATTATCTTACACTACAGAGATCTCCACAGAAGTATAATGTCAAGGTTTCTGGTATGGGGTCTTGTATTGGTGAGTACATGAACTCTTATGCCTCTGTAGTATGTATCAATTTATTGTCACTTCCAAGTATATTAAATGAGTCATTGTTTGTTTTTTTTAGATGAATAATAAAACCTTTTATAACACACAGGGAGTCATATCAGCAGTTCTGACCAAGTGTTCCACAGACCAGGGCTTCATTCCTGTTAACAAGAACTTATGGTAAAGTTTGCTTTGACGCACTTTCAGATGGAAGAAGTGGTTTTGCTTAGCAATAGCTGTTTATATCTGTTGACCAAAGGTTTGAGGAAGTCGCTGAGGGGAGTGGGCAGTTTAAGAAGTTATGAGACACATCCCCAGCTTTTATTATTGTCTTTAGTTCATAGGTCTTTTGTTTATGTGTTAGTACTTTAGTGCTGTAGGATTTTATTGTGGCTGGGATGCTATTACTTGTTTCTTTTGGTGTTTGCTTGTTTGGGTTTTTTAATGCGTACTGCGGAAATAAATTTTGCAGTCCCGTCTTCCCTGTTTTAAAAACACGCTATGTGAGATCCCTCTCCAACTTTATACTGATGTATATTCACAAAATTCCAGTATTTTCCAGGCTTCTACAATTGTGTCTCATTGCTAGCCAGCTACCTCCCTCATCCTATGTATCAAACACACAATATTTCATCTTAAAAGTCTAACAGTTCAACAGTGCCACCAGGCCAAAGTGGGCACCCATCCATGCCAGTGCATGGGATCATCGGCACAGTCAGAAGCTGTTAACCATCAGCACAAATGGCTGCTAATAAAGGGGTTTTGTGGAGTTGCTGTGTCTTGTATTAAACTTTGACAAGAGAGAAGTAACAGATAAACTTCAGACTTATTGAAGCTCTCCAACCCTACAGGCATATCCTTGATAAATATTTGTAGTAGAATGTTTGTGTTCATGTCACTTCTAGGTCACTGTCCTATGTGACGACGCTGGCCTGCTTTGCATATGTGCTGCTAGTGCTGGTCTACTACACCGTGGATGTGAAGAAGTGGTGGTCTGGAGCACCTTTCTACTACCCTGGTGAGCACCGCACTATATTGTCTGATGTATGCTCAGAATTAGACAGTGTTAACAATAAGCATTTTGTACATACAAACATACAGTAAGTATTTATGGTAGAGCCATAACACGCAGAGGGGGAGTAAAAAGCATCTGCTACCAGGCTGAAGAGTTGCTGTGTGGCTTTCTGCATGTCAAATAAACCTTAAAAAATCTAGAGTTAAAAGGTAGTTGTCAGTGCAGTCCCTATTTTGCCATGTTTTTGTGTCTAAGTGACTAATGAGAACAATGATTTTTGAAAATGTTCCAGTATTGAGTGAGAGCACTGCAGCCAGCAACAGTACAAGCACTACGTCCACACCATCAATTTACATCCACTGAAAATGCTTGTTTTGCCACTGACAGGCTCAGATGGTTCTTTTAAGTGTCTGACAACATTATGGAGAGGATTCCTACAGAGTCAGACCTTTTTAGGAAAGCGTAAGATCCTTTTTGTTTAACCAGAAAGAGACGCAAAATCCATTTCAATTTCAGTCCAAGCTTGCAGAACAGCAATGGACGGCAATAAGTGAAGTTAATGCAGGAATAGAGTCAATAATAACAATTAAACAAGAACAAATTTAGGCACTCATAAAAAAGTTTTGAGCCTTTGAGGAATCTTCCATTTCTCACACTATAACAGTATTTTCATTTAGTTTGATATGAATATAGAGGTCAAGTATTTGTGGAGATGTAGTAAAATATTAGTACTTGATTACTGATTATTAAATCTACACAATCGCCAATGTGTCTCAATTCTGTCTGTAAAGGTGCAGAGAAATTAGATCTACCACTTTTAAATTCAGTTTCCACTCTTATTATGTGCGTGCTTCCAGGTATGAACTCCATCCTTGTGTACGTGGGTCACGAAGTGTTTGAGGACTACTTCCCCTTCCGCTGGCGCATGGTCAACAGCCAATCCCACGCCGAACACCTGACCCAGAACCTCGTGGCTACTTCCTGTTGGGTCTTGATCTCCTACTTGTTCTACAGAAAGAAGGTTTTCTGGAAAATTTAGAAGTGGAGCCTCTGAATAATGGGACATTCAGACAGCAATACCAGAGGACATTGTTTACTGTTGCTGGAGTTTAAATCTAAAAACTTTTGGAAAGCGGGAAATGCGATACTCATTTTGTTTTGTTAAAATGACCTATGGTTGTTCTCTGTCATCTTCTGTCAAAACAGCACATCCTTTATATTTTTGATTTTCTTTTTGATTTTTTTAGTCACTACTTTAAAGGACCATACATGTTTAAAGATATTTTCCAAAGATCCTCAGATATGAAGCAGCTGACCCCTGCTAAATATCTTAACTGACTCAGGAACAACTTGTCAAAGAACACTTTGAGAACTGTGCAAACTGACAGTGTTAATTTGCTATCTGACTGGGCTTTAGATGCTGGTTTTCATTCCTCATATTGTACCACAGACAACAGCGGGTTAACCAGCCCTAGGTGACTTCCCCTTGGGAAAATCCCTGCTGCCATCTTATGTACTGTCGCGTTACTCTGAAAACTGAAGTGGGTTTTTGTGAGATTGACAGGAGCAGCAGGAGGAGGCGTTAAATTATGTACCCTCGAGAGAAAGGACTAACAAGAATGTAGTATGATCCTCCGTCATTTCCTCTGCACAGTGGAAGGTGGAGGTGATACTTAAACAAGGGTAAAACAGAATGCAGAGATTTTAACATATGAAAGTTAAACATCTGCAATATATCATTCCTCAGCTGTCAGTTTTCCATTTGCAATCCTTGCTCAGCAGGAGTCCAGTGGTGTGACATATGTTGCTGAGGGGAAGTGAAGGAGGGCATGTCAGATGACTAATGAAACCCACTGGAGGTTTCTTGCTTTGCAGTTTGGCCAATGCAGAAGCATGAATGTGTATGAGTTCATCTTTTTGATCAGGTGTTCAAAAAAATAAGTCACAGAACTGACTTTTTTATTTTGCTACACATGCCATTTTTTATGTTACCATTGGCAGAAATTGTTTCCCCTTCTCTTGCCAAAAGTTTGCTATTATTGAGTCACCAGTTTTTCACATTTTGTCAAATGTTTAATGAGTTCATAGAAAGCTATTATACTGTATGTTGCACGTGTACAGTAGTTTAATTATGAGATTTAGAAAGATATATTTGATCATGTCTTTTCTCACTATAAAACTGTTGCCATTACTCCCACAGTACTGTAAAAATCCCCCCCCCCCCTTCCTAAGATTGGCAGTTAATATTAAGATTACATTTATTAACATGTTTAACAAAATCATGGTTAAAATGTGGAATATCTGAATGCTGTGAGAGATTTTGGAAGAACTGTTCATCTAGTACTGTCAAAATTGATTAAATTAGTTTTGCCAGACTTTTATACATTTATTTTTTATATTCACCATTGAAAACCACTTGAAAATAAGTTTATGTAATAAAATATATTCCAAAATATTATTGCTGTTTGAGTTTGGTTTATATTGTAATGTAAGGCCTTTAAAGCAGGGGACATACCAGTTGCAGATTATATACAGTCAGGTCCATAATTATTTGGACAATGATACAGTTGTCATTTTGGCTCTGTACACCACCACAATGGGTTTTAAATGAAACAATGAATACCTGCTTAAAGTGCAGACTCTCAGCTTTCATTTAAGGCTTTTTTCAAAAATGTAGTATGAACCGTGTAGGAATTACAACCATTTCTTCACACAGTCCCCCGACTTTAAGGGCTCATAAGTATTTGGACAAACTAACATAATCATCAATTAAACAGTCAGTTTTAATACTTGGTTGCAAATCCTTTACAGTCAATGACTGCCTGAAGTGTTGGACACATAGGCATCATCAGATGCTGGGTTTCTTCCCTGGTGATGCTCTGCCAGCCCTTTACTGCAGCCGTCTGCACTTCCTGCTTGTGTTTTGGGTGTTTTGCCCTCAGTTTTGGCTTCAGCAAGAGAAACGCATGCTCAGTTGGATTCAGGTCAGATGATATGACTTGGCCATTGCAGAACATTCCACTTCTTTGCCTTAAAAATGTCTTTGGTTGCTTTTGCAATATGCTTCAGGTCATTGTCCAACTGCACTGTGAAGCATCGTCCAATGAGTTTTGAAGCATTTAGTTGAATCTGAGCAGATAATGGTGCCCCAAACACTTCAGCTTTCATCCTGCTGCTCTTGTAAGCAAGACAAGACTTCACTAGAATAAATACAGAGGGTTTATCACAAGATGCAAACCATTGGTTAGCCTTAAAAATGGAAGGCCAGATTAGAGTTTGTCAAAAACCATCTAAAAAGCCTGTACAGTTGTGGAACAGCATACTATGGACAGATAAAACAAAGATCAGCTGCCAGAATGATGGGAAGACAAGAGAAGGAAGAAGGGAAGGAACTGCTCATGATCCAAAGCACACCACCTCATCAGTGAAGCATGGTGGAGGTACTGTTATGTCATGGCCATGTATGGCTGCCAGTGGAACTGGTTCTCTTGTATTTATTGATGATGTGACTGCTGACAAGAGCAGCAGGATGAAAGCTGAAGTGTTTGGGGCTACATTATCTGCTCAGATTCAACTAAATGTTTCAAAACTCATTAGACGATGCTTCACAGTGCAGATGGACATTGACCTGAAGCATACTGCAAAAGCAACCAAAGACATTTTTAAGGCAAAGAAGTGGAATGTTCTGCAATGGCCAAGTCATATCATCTGACCTGAATCCAATTGAGCATGCGTTTCTCTTGCTGAAGCCAAAACTGAGGGCAAAACACCCAAAACACAAGCAGGAAGTGCAGACGGCTGCAGTAAAGGGCTGGCAGAGCATCACCAGGGAAGAAACCCAGCATCTGATGATGCCTATGTGTCCAACACTTAAGGCAGTCATTGACTGTAAAGGATTTGCAACCAAGTATTAAAACTGACTGTTTAATTGATGATTATGTTAGTTTGTCCAAATACTTATGAGCCCTTAAAGTTGGGGGACTGTGTGAAGAAATGGTTGTAATTCCTACACGGTTCATACTACATTTTTGAAAAAAGCCTTAAATGAAAGCTGAGAGTCTGCACTTTAAGCAGGTATTCATTGTTTCATTTAAAACCCATTGTGGTGGTGTACAGAGCCAAAATGATGACAACTGTATCATTGTCCAAATAATTATGGACCTGACTGTATATATATATATATATAAATATACATTTGTTTTTCTCCACCATAGCAGACAGGACCCCAGGTGCAAGCTGTGCAAAGAGGCCCCTGAGACAGTCCAGCACACAGTAGCAGGATGTAAGATGCATGCTGGGACAGCGTACATCAAGTGGCTTAGATAGTGTACAGGAACATCTGCACCGAGTGTGGACTAGAAGTCCCCAAGTCCCAAGGGACACACCACCAAAAGTGGTTGAGAACAACAGGGCTAAGATCCTGTGGGACTTCAAGTTCCAGACTGACAAGCACCTGCGAGCCAACCACACACAGTAGTGGCTGACAAGGAGTAAAAGAGGGCACTTGTGGTAGATGTGGCAATCCCAGCTGATGGTAACCTCAGGAAGAAAGAGCATGAAAAGACTGAGACGTACCAGTGGCTGAAGGAACAACTGGAACAGATATGGAAGGTGAGACCCAAAGAGAGTGGCTTCAGTAAAGTCCAGGTACAACATCTGAGGTCTCTGTCTAGAAGAGTGCACTCCTAGGAACAGCTATGGTACTGTGCAGAACCATCAGACTCCCAGGCCTCTGGTAGAGGATCAAAGCCATCTGGGACACAGTTAAAAAAAAGAAAAAAAAGAGGGAGATGAAATTTGCATATTTTATTGCTTGTTATGTATTATTGTTTGTTAGGTAAGAAGAAAATGAAAGGGCAAATGCCATCTGGGCTGCAGCACAAATAAAGGAAGACACAATTTGCAAATGTTATTGATATGTTTTATTGTTTGTTAGCTAAGTTGTTGGTTTTGATTTGTCATTTGCTCTTGTTCTTTTTTGTAATAAAACAATACATATGAATAAAAGTTAATAGTTAATAGTTTTTTTTAGAGGGGCACCGAATATGCTAGCTCTGGCACTGACACATACTAATGTTTCTCTAAGAATAATAACTGCTAGTCTTATGAAGGCCATGTGAAGACTTTATATAAGAATATATAGTTCAAGTGTTACAGTTCAAGTTCACTCTCCAAGCTGTGTCTCCAGCTCTACAGAGTACAAAGGTGTAGTTTGCTTTATTGCTCAATAAGGCGTGGGAATCGAGTTACAGTGTGGTTGCCTTGTGAAAAAAAAAAACCAAGTTGTGAGAGTGCCTCTGCGTCTCGCGATACAATTGCTCCATCATCACTCGTGTCTATTGTGAGAGTTTTTGCGTTCTCGCGCGACTTTGTAACTTTCCCACGCCTGTTGTTTTGGCGTCTGCCCTCTGCCCGTCGCCACTCCCTCCCCCTCTTCTCACCCCTCTCCCTCCCCTCACACCTCCCCCTCTGTCTCCCTCTGCCTTTCCTTCCAGTCTGCTTCTTCTGTTGTGCCGTTAGCTTTGGTGAAGGGGGCTGGGGGAGGGATCTCGCGATTGTTGGACTTTTTTTTTTTTTTCCAAGGGGGGAGAGTTATTTGGAAGATGGCGCCCGTTGTTACGGGGTAAGTGCTGAAATTCAAAGCATAATGATATGTTAAAAAAAGTTTTTTCATGTGGTAGACCGTTGCCAGTGTGTAGTGTTTTTAAGTGATGTTTCTGGGTGTTAAAGTGTGTTGGCTCTGCCTCAGTAAGCTTAGCTCGCACAGTGCTACTTTGTGGCTTGATGTGGGGTCAGTTGTGTTGAACTATTCTTCGTAGTATCGTCTCGTTTCTCTGCCATTTGTTGAGTTGCCGTATTACGATATTGACTCCGTTTAAAACTATTTCCGAAACTTTTTGTCAGTCAGCAGTTTTGCATTTTAACTTAACTACTTTTTTCTGTCTGTTTAATTTCCGTTTCAACACAATGTAACGTTATTATTTTCACAGACTGTTACTGTGTTACAGTAACGTCATAAGTGTTGCTATAAGCTGTCGCTAGATTTAGCTGGGCATCATCCTCAGCACAGATTAATTGGTTAAAGTTGATTTCCTTATATCTAAAAGTAGCTCAAATAAGTCCATAGTGCTACTGTACCACTGTCCTGCTAAACGTTCTATCTCCATTATTACATACTGTGTACATAAGCACCAAACCAAGTATAAAAGCAGCCTAGAAACAGGCAAAACCTTCACCGTGTGTGAATCTGTGGTCTTACACCTTTGTCTGAGTTCTTAACACAGTGTATTACAGGTGCCACTGACATTGTGCACTTTGTCACTCTCACACTCACTTCAGTCAGTTCAGTTCATTTCAATTCAGTTTATTAATGTCATTCTCTATACAGCAGCATACAGTGAGGTCCAGGTGCAGTAAAGAACATGGACAGGACAACATTAAAGTGCAGTAAAATACATTGCGAATACTCAGAAGAATAAAAATAGCTAAGTGCAGAGAAAGAAATATTGCATAGTAATAAATAGGGATGCACAATAATTTTGACACATCGTTGGTATGAGCTGATATTGGCTTTAAAATGGCAGAATTGGCCAACATGCTTTTTCTTTTTTTGCACAACGAATGAATATTACATCTACTGAGAAGGATTCTATTTCTTGTCTCCATGGGTGTGAAAAAAAGGATATATTGATAAAGGTATCAGTTATCAGCCAAATGAGTTTTGACATATCGGATACTGGTTAAAAAAAAAAAAAATCCAATTTCGTGCATACCTAGAAATGAACTGTTAAAACAGCAAAATTATAATCTGGATAACAATTAAAATTATTTTCAGAGTATATAAAAAACATGTACATCAAGTACATTTTACATTTTCAGTCTATGCAGTGTCAGTAAGCAGTTGTCCATGCTGTGTATGCGTCCTCGTGATGTGGACGAAAGTGGCTAGAAGCTTGTTTTTATCTCTGCAGCACTAAAACCACGTGTAAACACTCTGCACCCTGATGTCTTTGTTTTGCAGGAAGTTTGGTGAGCGACCTCAGCGTTTAACAAGGTAGAGATACACATAGGCACCCCTTTAGAGTGTAAACAAGTCAAAGCACTCAGATCAATGCAGAAGTGATAACAGCTTGATTGAAGCTGAGAACAGTTGTGTTTCTCTGTTAGTGTTAACACGTTTTTCCCCTCATTTCAGGGAGGCTATGAGGAATTACTTGAAGGAAAAAGATGATCAAACAGTGCTCATACTGCATGCAAAAGTTGCACAGAAGTCATATGGCAATGAAAAAAGGTTTGTGTGGGACTCTTAAAAGCTTGTGTGTACTTGGTGGAGTAAAGGTAGGTAAAAACTGAACTGTGTGGTTTTTTTTAACCTCTGCTTGTGTCATTTAGGTTTTTCTGCCCTCCACCATGTGTGTATCTGTTGGGCAGTGGCTGGAAGAAGAAGTTAGAGAA